TCGCAGGATAATGTCAACCACTCAGGAAGATCATCCAGGCTGCTCCCTAACTAACTACCGAGGCGTGATGAATGCCTTGTTGGATGCATTGTATAATTGGATGGGTGCTCGTATAGATGGATGAATGCATGTATGAATGCATATATAACTAAATGGATGCATGTATAACTGAATGGATGCATGTATACAGATGTGGGTTGACACTTGGGTAGATGGTCAACCACTTTCTTGACTTCTCTCATCATCCCGTAGAGTGATTACCACTTATGTCCCTGTCTTCCACTTACTCTCTTCTGTCTTTCACTTACTCTCTTCTGTCTTTCACTTACTTTCTTTTGTCTTCCACTTACTCTCTTTTGTCTTCCACTTATTCTGCTTTGTCTTGCACTCTTGCTGCTGAGGCAGGGGACACTTTCTCAACTCTCTCTTACAAGCAACTCGCAAGTGTTTATCACGGGATAACTATGTGTGTGTGTGTGTGTGTGTGTGTGTGTGTGTGTGTGTGTGCCCTCACTCGCGTTACATGCACAGATTTTAGGAAAGGCTTATTTTAAGGTGATGAGTTAAGTCAGTGCCTTTGTTAAATAAAATCTTACATTAAAATAGAAAGTCTGTAGCAACCTCTGCTTTCTAGAGGGAAAAAACTAGTCAGAATAATGATGGGGGGCAGAAATAAGTATAATACTCTAGCATCTGATGGCACAGCATCAATGACTCGACATTTCCTGGCATTTACGGAGCGTAGAACATTCATGTCGTTCTAGGTACTCTCCACCCCGATGTTTTCAGGTTTTTGATCCACGATAACCGGGTTTAGAATCCCTGGGAAGGTCTCTAATACCTCGTGGTTTCTAACTAGAGAACACCTGGTGGGTAGGTAGAAACCTTTACTGTGTGGGCCAGATGGTGCTGAGGTGAGTCAAGGATACCTCAGTCCACTTTTTTATGACCCCACTCACACCTACACGAGAGGTGTAAACCACTGTGATGGGTGGGCAGCACCCACTCACACCTACACGAGAGGTGTAAGCCACTGTGATGAGTGGCCAGCACCCACTCACACCTACACGAGAGGTGTAAACCACTGTGATGGGTGGGCAGCACCCACTCCACCTACACGAGAGGTGTAAGCCACTGTGATGAGTGGGCAGCAGCACCCCTCACACCTACACGAGAGGTGTAAGCCACTGTGATGAGTGGGCAGCACCCACTCACACCTACACGAGAGGTGTAAGCCACTGTGATGGGTGGGCAGCACCCACTCACACATACACGAGAGGTGTAAGCCACTGTGATGAGTGGGCAGCACCCACTCACACCTACACGAGAGGTGTAAGCCACTGTGATGAGTGGGCAGCACCCACTCACACCTACACGAGAGGTGTAAGCCACTGTGATGAGTGGGCAGCACCCACTCACACCTACACGAGAGGTGTAAGCCACTGTGATGGGTGGGCAGCACCCACTCACACCTACCATTCACCATCACTTAAGAGTGATGGTGAATGTGATTTCCTTTATGGGAGACTACGTAGGTGCTAAGACCAGTCTTACTATCTGGACTACTTGGTAAGAGTCTAGAGTGTCAGAGTAGTGGGGTGCTATACCAGCCAAGACTACTGTTACTATCTGAACCTCTTAATAGTTTGGTACAGTTGTCTGGAATCCAACCTGGCAGCTGGTCCATCGTGACAGATGGTGCACTGGCCCACCATGGTAGCTGGTCCATCATGGCAGCTGGTCCGTCGTGGCAGCTGGCCCACCGTAGATGGTCCACCATGGCAGCTGATCTACTATCAGGAAACAAGACCTTGTCCTGGTTGATGTTCACACACACACACACACACACACACACACACACACACACACACACACACACACACACACACACACACACACACACACACACACACACACACACACACACAATATATCACCCACCATAGTCTCACACTTGACCATAAGAGGTGATGCACAAAGTGGTCTTATCTGTAGTCCACGACACGCCCACCCCCATGCTCATACCTTCGTGCGTACCCACGCCCACACCCATGCTCACACTCTCGTGCGTACCCATGCTCTCATGCCCACACTCATGTTTATGTTCATTTCTATACCCATACCACACCCACGCACACATATGCTCATACCAACACCCATCACCCCAACAGCATCTACATCACACGCCCACGCCCAGTTACAATTCTTTGCTGGTGACGTCATTATTGAATCGCTCAGGTTGGCTAAACAATGACGTCAATGTGACGTCATCTCAGCTGGAAAATGCGGCGGTGCCAAGTCTCCAACACCACCACCCCCAGGTGCACATTCTCACCTCTACGACATGTCTCGGGAGATGACATTACCTACTTTAAACTATAGATAACTAAGAATAATGAAAGAGGAGAGAAGGATGCGGCGTGGAAGAGAGAAAAAAAATATTCCAGTAATGTTTTTAATGGAAATGTGGCACCACAGCTCTCATCATGCCTTAAAGTGGTCAGTAAGTTTATTCATGTTAAAGTGGTCAGTAAGTTTATTCATGTTAAAGTGGTCAGTAAGTTTATTCATGTATACATACACATAAATTCGGTTATATACATTATTATACATAGCAGTATATGTGTAGTTTATCTAGGATAACCCGTAAAGGGTTAACTATTTTGTATTTAATTGATCTGTAGTATTTTATTTACACGTAAATAAGACGAGGTTCTGAACACCTGGTTCTGAACACCTGATTCTGAACACCTGGTTCTGAACACCTGGTTCTGAATACCTGGTTCTGAACACCTGGTTCTGAACACCTGGTTCTGAACACCTGGTTCTGAATACCTGGTTCTGAACACCTGGTTCTGAATACCTGGTTCTGAACACCTGGTTCTAAACACCTGGTTCTGAACACTTGGTTCTGAATAAATACCCGGTTCTGAATACCTGATTCTGAACACCTGGTTCTGAACACCTGGTTCTGAATACCTGGTTCTGAACACCTGGTTCTGAACACCTGGTTCTGAACACCTGGTTCTGAATACCTGGTTCTGAACACCTGGTTCTGAACATCTGGTTCTGAACACCTGGCTCTGATCACCTGGTTCTGAATACCTGGTTCTGAACACCTGATTATGAACACCTGGTTCTGAACACCTGGTTCTAAACACCTGGTTCTGAACACCTGGTTCTGATCACCTGGTTCTGAATACCTGGTTCTGAACACCTGATTATGAATACCTGGTTCTGAACACCTGATTATGAACACCTGGTTCTGAACACCTGATTATGAACACCTGGTTATGAACACCTGGCACTTGCTGTTAAGAAAATGTTAAGATAAGATTTGTTGAGATTTTTAACCCGGGGAAGGATTAACCACCCAGGGTAATATGGGGTAGGGAACATTAGCCACCCAGGGTAACCTGGGGTAGGGAGGGTTAGCCACCCAGGGTAACATGGGGTAGGGAGGGTTAGCTAACCAGGGTAACCTGGGGTAGGGAGGGTTAGCTACCCAGGATAACCTGGGGTAGGGAGGGTTAGCTACCCAGGATAACCTGGGGTAGGGAGGGTTAGCTACCTAGGATAACCCAGTAAAGTCAGTGGGTCATCGAGGACTGTCCCCCAGGATGCGACCCACACCAGTCTACTAACACCCAGTTACCTGTATGGTTAGGGTCACAAGGGGTGTCAGAATTTATACACTATACTGAGCACACTTCGATAAGCCTAGATCAGGCCAGTAAGTCTTCTGTAGTGCTTATATGCTTTTCGTATCTTATCCACTGTGACAGTGTTGTAGATACGTTAATATTGTTATGTGATAAGTGGTAGGCTTGGTACACTGTGACGGTACACTGTGTCGGTACACTGTGTCGGTACACTGTGTCGGTATACTGTGACGGTACACTGTGTCGGTACACTGTGTCGGTACACTGTGTCGGTACACTGTGACGGTACACTGTGTCGGTACACTGTGTCGGTACACTGGGTGTATCTGGGTGTTCCTGGGTGTACCTGGGTGTTCCTGTGTGTTACTGGGTGTTCCTGGGTGTACCTGGGTGCTCCTGGGTGTACCTGGGTGTTCCAGGGTGTTCCTGGGTGTATAAGTGTTGCCTGGGTGTAATGTTAACTGCCAGAAGTGGACTATGGTGTGTTGGAGAGTGTATGTAAGGCTTCTACTGATAGTCACCACCACCATCGCCACCACCAGCACCACCATCACCACCAGCACCACCAGCACCACCAGCACCACCAGCACCACCAGCACCACCAGCACCACCATCACCACCATCACCACCATCACCACCAGCACCACCAGCACCACCAGCACCACCAGCACCACCAGCACCACCAGCACCACCAGCACCACCGTGTCTAACACACCACACATGTAAACAGTCTGTCCTCACCAACATAACGTAGCAACAAACTCTGCTATCAGGCGACCTTTCAGACTTAATACTGAATAATCTTTGTAATTTATCCTTTATTGGTTGTTGTCATTCATTGTGCCAGTTATTCATTATTTCCCAGACTGTATCTCAGCGTTGAGTCGTTCATTATTTCCCAGATTGTATCTCAGCGTTGAGTCGTTCATTATTTCCCAGACTGTATCTCAGCGTTGAGTCGTTCATTATTTCCCAGACTGTATCTCAGCGTTGAGTCGTTCATTATTTCCCAGACTGTCATATTCTGTCATCAGAAATCCTTAATCCTTAATCCTTAATCTGTCATTTTTTTTCTTATTAATTACCAATATATTAACTTGTGTCTCCCCAGTCTTCCCTCACTGTGTGTGTTGTTCACATATGTACATATGTGTAACTGTCAGTGTTGTAAGATATTTTAACACTGTGTGTCAGAGCTGTGAAGTTGTCTGGGTGATTTCAACGACCCACTTGTCAGGACAAACACCATCTTCTGTATCAGCCAATTTTCATCCCAATAACATCACTCTCACTTATTCTGCAATGACCATCTTTGGCTAATGTTGACTTGTATTGCAGGTGTTAGCAGAGGAGTGAATGAGGAGGCGTCGACGAAGACACATAGGATCAAGGAGGCCCCGCCCATATAGGAGTCCAGAGCGGGAGGCCAGACGGAGACTTAGTCTGAGCGAGACACTGCCGCATGCGGACGTGTGCCGCTGCCCTCTACTGCTCTCCTGAACTGACTGTGTTGTGTTGAATTGAAACACTGACCCGCAACCATGGTGGTCGAGGATAAGAAGAGGAAGTCGGTGCAGAAGGATAAGCGTCCCATGACGCCCAAGGAGAAGTGCATCTGTCAGATCTGCACGTGCGGGTGAGTTGTTTGATTAGTGCAGGTGGTATCTTCCACCTGTTAGTGCCTTATTAATGCTCTGCAGGGGCGTCAACAACACCTTCAGTGCCCCTGGTGTGTGTGTCTCGTGGGTATGGCTCCCCCTGGGGCATAATACAAGGGTAGGAGGCTAGTTGTGGATAGCGTGAGGGAGAGTGGTAAGGGGCGGGGCCTTATTTGGTATTGTGCCCTAGTGCACGACGCCAGAGCTCACCCACATGCAGGGTATAGTGCCCATCAGGGCCGCCCACACTCACCCACACCCACACATTATACCCCAAAACCTGCACTCCGTAGATACCTAGTGAATACGCTAGCGGACAGTCTAGGTTGGGTATCTATCTGCTTCCTAGACTAGAACATCTTGTTCTCAGTGCCCCCTTTGACGTACCTCAACGTCGCTTGTTGACGTTAACGTCTCTGATGTGTCTTTAGCTTGTAGTGAAATAAAAGAAGGCAGGTGGTGTGGAAAGGTGGCATGGAGGCCAGCAAGGTGGTAGGTGGTGTTACAGGTGGCTGTGATGGCGGTGGTGGCAGCAGCCCCCGTCAGATCCAGCGGGCAACCAAGGGCACTGCAAGGTGAAAGTCTGCCCTCACTGCTGTCTCCACCACCACCACCGCAACACTCCTGCCCCACCACCACCACCACCATTACCATCATCACTACCACCACCACCGCCACCACACATAGCACCGCCAACACCTCCACACTCCTGCCCCACCACCACCACCACCATTACCATCATCACTACCACCACCACCGCCACCACACATAGCACCGCCAACACCTCCACACTCCTGCCCTACCACCACCACCACCACACAATATCATTGAAATTCCTTGAGTAGCGTCTCTATTAAGAAAGAATAGGAGATGATTGGGTGTGAGTTGGACCTGCCTAGCATGGGTCGGCTGGGCGGGAGATCAGGTGCAGCTGGGCAGGACTTACCACATATCTGATCGTTGACTAGGTTAGGATAGCATCAAATTATATCAACCTAAGGAACGAGACGTCTCCTCAGGGGCGAAACGTCTTCTTACGGGCGAAACATCTGTGTCCTGATGCTGCAATAAGTGTCAGGACCCAAGACTGTTCAACTGTCTCCCAGCATACATACGGGGGATTACCAATAGACCCCTGACTGTCTTCAAGAAGGCGCTAGACAGGCACCTAAAGTCAGTACCTGACCAGCCGGGCTGTGGTTCGTACGTCGGGTTGCGTGCGGCTAGCAGTAACAGCCTGGTTAATCAGGCCCTGATTCAACATGAAGCTTGGTTACAGTCCGGGCCGCGGGGGCGTTGACCCCCGGAACTCTCTCCATGTATACTCCAGGCATCTTCGTGTATTCTTGTGTAAGAGTTTGTTCGTCTTGTGCCCAGTATTCTCCTTTCCTAACATGTGCCACGCCTCCGACAAGTGCCACTCTCATTCCCCTTAATAAGTGGCACTCACCCCTGCAACACAGGCACCTATCTTGTCTGGAGTAGGAAATGCCCAGCCCAGTCAGCTATGGGTAGTCTCAGAACGTTCCCGTCAGTCCTGCACCCTCACACACACACACACACACACACACACACACACACACACACACACACACACACACACACACACACACACACACACACACACACACACACACACACAACACTTGCTTCTTTAACACTCATGGGAGGAAACACGACTGACTGACCTCATCACAATTAAATTACAAGAGTGAAGAATCGTGGGAGCCATGACTGCGACGTGTAAAATACTTACAAGACTGGATAAGACCTAGAATCGATCCCTCGCAAAGAAAAGTGAGTAAATACACACCTCTTGACAGCCAAACCGTGTAATTGTGGGAGAGAGGAAATATGACAACGGCATACATGATACTCACAGGACTAAATACAGTACACACACACACATCAAAATGATGATAACACATCAAAATGATGTCAAAAGCATATTAAAGTCAGTAACATCATGACATGGTTCAATCTCTCATCAACTGAGGTGATGTCAGCAGCAGATCGAGGGATACAGTTGATGCCAGAAAATACCGTGAAGTCCAGATGATGTCATTGTGGTGTTGCTGTCAAGGTGACACAGTGAAAATAATTCTGGAAATGTAATGAAATCATTTAGGAAAGTTACTGTCAAGCGCTGTCAAACTTCCTGTATACTTGACAACACTGCTTAGTCATTATAATAATAATAATATAATAATAATAATAATAATAATAATAATAATAATAATAATAATAATAATAATAATAATAATAATAATTTTCCCTTAAATACACAACATTATTACCCAGTAATGGATCGACACCATGCCCAGCCCTTCTAGGGCAGGGTAGGTGCCTGAGCTAGAGCTTGTAGCTCACAAGACTGTCATTCCCATTAGGGTCGGGGATGGCAGACCAGAGAGGTCTAGCTTCTCCCTACGAGCCCTGTGAGGGCGGGGAATGTGGCTAGGCCTGGGGACAGTTGGTCCCAAAGATGAGGAGGTACTTGTGCCTCCTCCCATGGCAGACCAGGAGGCCTGGTCACAGACCGGGCCGCGGGGGCGTTGACCCCCTGAACTCTCTCCAGGTAAACTCCAGGTAAACTCCAGACTTAGGTCTCAGACACTCCCAAGACAGGGAGCCAAGGCCGGGCCACCCTTGGAAATGGCCCGGGCCGGGAGAATACCGGCGAATCAACAAAATGAAGACCTAGTAATGACAGTCGCAGGTTCGTGGTACCATCAGCATATAAACCATGGTTTACATCAGACAAAAAACCTAGACCATAAAACCACCGTACTCTCTTGACGATAGAATTCAGTTGTTTATGTAAGGATTCCATACTCCGAAAGGGATTGGATTTTTTTTATGGGGAGATACAGAGACATATTTTTTTAAGGTGATGGAAACTGAGGTGAAACTGAGTCTGTGTGTGTTAAAATGTCTCTTATGAAAGTGCTTAGGAAAGGTATGTTTTTTGGGGCGCTGCTGCGTTCGTATGTACACACACACACACACACACACACACACACACACACACACACACACACACACAGTTACCTCACCCACTGACCGCACACAAACATGACTCTGTTACTCTCATGAAATTCTTTAAGAAGAACTACAACTGTATCACTCTCTCACTCCCTCTCACTCCCTCCCTCTCACTCCCTCCCTCTCACTCTCTCCCTCTCACTCTCTCCCTCCCTCTCACTCCCTCCCTCTCACTCCCTCCCTCTCACTCCCTCCCTCTCACTCCCTCCCCTCACTCCCTCCCTCTCACTCCCTCCCTCTCACTCTCTCCCTCTCACTCTCTCCCTCCCTCTCACTCCCTCCCTCTCACTCCTCCCTCTCACTCCCTCCCTCTCACTCCCTCCCTCTCACTCCCTCCCTCTCACTCCCTCCCTCTCACTCTCTCCCTCTCACTCTCTCCCTCCCTCTCACTCCCTCCCTCTCACTCCCTCCCTCTCACTCCCTCCCTCTCACTCTCTCCCTCTCACTCACTCCCTCCCTCTCACTCCTCCCCTCACTCCCTCCCTCTCACTCTCTCCCTCTCACTCTCTCCCTCCCTCTCACTCCCTCTCACTCTCTCCCTCCATCTCACTCCCTCCCTCTCACCTCTCCCTCCCTCTCACTCCCTCCCTCTCACTCTCTCCCTCCCTCTCACTCCCTCCCTCTCACTCTCTCCCTCCCTCTCACTCTCTCACTGTCTCACTCTCTCACTCTCTCACTCTCTCACTCTCTCACTCTCTCTCACACACACAATAAACGGTAACATAATTAGGTATTAAAGATTTTATTTAAGCTTAAATGTACTATATAACGTCTCTTTTTGATCATAGATTTTAGATCAGTTGAACTACAGTCATGTCTAGTCTACAAATGTAGTTATGAAAGCCGTAAATGCAGTCGTCATGGTGTAAATGCAGTTGTCATGGTGTAAATGCAGTCGTCATGGTGTAAATGCAGTCGTCATGGTGTAAATGCAGTCGTCATGGTGTAAATGCAGTTGTCATGGTGTAAATGCAGTCGTCATGGTGTAAATGCAGTCGTCATGGTGTAAATGCAGTTGTCATGGTGTAAATACAGTTGTCATGGTGTAAATGCAGTCGTCATGGTGTAAATGCAGTTGTCATGGTGTAAATACAGTTGTCATGGTGTAAATACAGTTGTCATGGTGTAAATACAGTTGTCATGGTGTAAATACAGTTGTCATGGTGTAAATACAGTTGTCATGGTGTAAATACAGTTGTCATGGTGTAAATACAGTTGTCATGGTGTAAATACAGTTGTCATGGTGTAAATACAGTTGTCATGGTGTAAATACAGTTGTCATGGTGTAAATACAGTCGTCATGGTGTAAATACAGTTGTCATGGTGTAAATACAGTTGTCATGGTGTAAATACAGTTGTCATGGTGTAAATACAGTTGTCATGGTGTAAATACAGTTGTCATGGTGTAAATACAGTCGTCATGGTGTAAATACAGTCGTCATGGTGTAAATACAGTTGTCATGGTGTAAATACAGTTGTCATGGTGTAAATACAGTCGTCATGGTGTAAATACAGTCGTCATGGTGTAAATACAGTTGTCATGGTGTAAATACAGTTGTCATGGTGTAAATACAGTTGTCATGGTGTAAATACAGTCGTCATGGTGTAAATACAGTTGTCATGGTGTAAATACAGTCGTCATGGTGTAAATACAGTTGTCATGGTGTAAATACAGTCGTCATGGTGTAAATACAGTTGTCATGGTGTAAATACAGTTGTCATGGTGTAAATACAGTTGTCATGGTGTAAATACAGTTGTCATGGTGTAAATACAGTTGTTGTCTGGCGGTGAATAAGTGACATGCATCTTTAATGACCCTAATGTAGTAGATAGGCTTTAAACCCCATTAAACAATGAACGAGCTTTAACGACCTTCTTGCAGTAGACAGGCTTTAAACCTCATTTAACAAACCAACGTCATATATAAACTGG